CCAATACTGATTGTGGCACTTGGTCAATTTGTGGCACCTGCTGTGTGGCATAAACTACTCCGCTTTAGCCTACCCCCTTTTATAGAAATTTTTGAAAGCCCTTATCGTTATCTCATGGTCACAAGATTATCTCATGCAAGTGAGCGACTTTGTACACTCCGCTATTCATCTTATGCTGGCCCAATGAGCAGTCTGTTGCAGCCAATACGTAAGCATCCTTGAATATATTTGTCGAATTTTGGGACCACAATACTAGACCAGAGGTACTGTGAATATAAGCATCTTTATCTGACTATTGGCTAATGCTATATACATGCGATGGTGGAATACTTGTGAAACTTGGAGGAAGCGTGAATATGACGATCGGGAACATATCCACGGAACCTGCAATCTTGCTCGCACTAATATTATTATAATGCAAAATAGGTAAGAAGATAATCACGCGCTAATTTATTTAGGCGTCCCACTATTTAGGTTAGATTTACAGTTTTTTGTGGGAAGCCTAATATTAATATCAGACGATATTTCCTTACCAGCTCTTTTTCGACCAATCTATCGTTATTGGATAAGTCTAAAGGACACAAAGCTATTTTCGAGCAAATGCCAAAGCCTTTGCGCGCGTAATACTGCATTCTTTCTCTGGTATTGATGTTATTATTTCAATTACTGCCAGCTAGAGTTTTTGTCCAAATTTATTTGATTCCATTAATATATCCCCAACACTTGGTTTTACTTATTTGCGCCTTTTGCTCATTTGGTTACTAGCACAAGCAGTTCTCATAACTACCGCACAACACAACTCAGCAAATAATTCACACGCTTCGTCATCTATCACTATTTGATCTATTTCCCACTATATCTCTCGTCGTCTTATCTTACCGGCACGCTCTCACATGAAAATCATCTTGACGAATGGGGTTCCCGCCCAACCATAATTACACAAATCTGTGTGGCAATCGAAGATTTAGCATGTTCGTGTCTGCGACGTCATGTCATGTTCACACGAAAAAATCTGATTTTCCCGTACAAATTAATATGTCAGAGAATTTGCCCAAGACGATTAAATACTTTACGTTCGTGCAGAAAATTATACGACTAAGTTACGTAAGAGGTTGTTAGTTATTAACATATTGTAGACATCAGCAACATTCATCGAGTGATATCTTCGAGTCCATGCTTACCTGATTTTTACCAATAAATGCTGGAATACGCTGTAGTACTCAATCCTTTAAGTTGCGAACTTTTAGCTTCTGCTTTTGCTAGATCGATTTCTGTTTCTATAAAGGAAGTTTGTTTCCTCGTTAGAAAAGTGAATATTCGCATGCTTCACGTGATTTAGAGTAACATACCCTGACCAAAAAACGTCGCCATAGAAATTTCGATTTATCTAAAATGCTTTTATTGACGTTTGACCGTCGTTGGGATCAAGAAACTTCCAACTAGAAAATAATGCTACATATATGTAGCAAATAAATAAAACGACATTTCCATAATTGGAATAAACGAAATCTCGGAACGACGTGAAAAAACTCGACCAGCGAGGATAATTTTCTCTTTTACTGTACTCATATGATGTATAATGTTTAGATCGTAAATCTAACGAAAAATTATATTTTGGTTAGGCGTGATAACATCTTTTGCATTATGATGTTTGCTGTTACGAATCAGAGGAAAAATAGCGGCAGATTTTTACGGCAAGTATTTATAGTCGCCACCGCGGGGCGGTTTTTTTTCTTTTCGTTGACAATGATGTCGCAAATGAGCAATGGTTAATTGGTTGTCTACAAACACTAAACGCGAAACGGGGATGCAAAGTATGTATTGCACAGCTCATAGACAGTAATAACAAGTTCGAAGTCTGGGTTCGGAATAGCACCATATTAATCAACTTTTCACTGTTGCAATAAATGACACTTTACTAATGCTTACTCGAGACAAAGAACTACCGAAAAAATGAAATTGTCTATGGTAAAAAACTATCGTGTAACTAGGCCCAAGTGTTGAAAAGTTGGAATTATTGACCATAATTGCAGTTGTTTTTATGAAACGTGCCGTACTACCCGCACACTTGATAAATTATTTGACCTATTTTCTTAAACAAAAATAAGCCTTTGATATTTTAACGCTTTTTCCATGCTTAGGAATGAAACAATTGCGTTCTTTAAGCTAATCAGATGTTAATGTCTGAATAAAGTCAGTCATATTACTCGATAAAATCATAACAAAGAATAATCAATTTTCATTTTATACATTTTCTAATCATTCGGTTATTAAAGTGTATAATTTTAACAAAGGCATATTTTTACGTTGTCCAATCTATTAAAGCGTTTCCTGATGCATAAACTGCACAAAGTTTTTTTGTTGACCCGCATAAAGCAAAAATTATGTTGATTTTCCGCAGTACGAAAATCCACCAATAATTGATGCATGGTGGAATTATTGTGAGGCAAAGTTCCTACCATTACATTGTATTAATACCCATAGACCTTTGCGTTATAGATACGCTCTTTTCATTGTTATCTAAAAAGACAAACAGAACGTCATTGCACACGCTCGACTGGGGAATAGTTTGTCTGTATAAATGAAACTCCGTTAACCATAACAGAATGACCAGAAAATCAAAGGAGGTTGATAATAGTGGACAGTGGACTGTATTACGAACAAAGTTTCCCGTAATAGAATAATAATGGCGATACTGCCCCTCATGTGAAACGTTTCATGGAAATTCTATTTTTTTAGTAACCCCGGCATATTATTATCTACATGTTGATAATTCAGAATACTAATGCAGTCGTCCCTCTCTAATATCCACCTCTTTCATATCAACGACCTCTCTCTACTATATAGAACAGTTATTTCGTTTATATTATTCTCGATACATATGTACATTTCTACAATCTGTATAATGTCGTATGTGGCCTAAAGGGAATTTATCCGACATGTTACACGGCCATAATTTTATCGAAATATCACCTATATACTATAGTTGTACTACATGTCGGATGTGTTACCCTTAAAAAGGAAATATTATGGCCGTGTAACATGTCGGATAATATCCCGATTATTTTGCCAAATCCAGACGCACAGGACAACTGTCTGACAGCATAAACTGCTGATGCAGTACAGTAAGACCCGGCAAAATTCGTAAAAGAGCAATATTTTTCTATCAGACTTGGAAATAGAACGTAACATAGATAGTGCAATATTTTTAAATTTCCAGTCATCAACGAGGAAAGCTGATCCGTGCATGTGTCTTGACCGGGCGAGCGAGTAACAAGGGACGATCACTTATTGGGAAGATTTACGCCATGTATGGCATTATAATGTAGACGTCTTCGTTGTAAGGGATACGCGTTTATTTGCAGAACTGAAGCGTTTACCAATGTCGGTTGTTTTGATACGATGACGAATGATAAAAATGTCGGTTAGCGAGGAAAAGCAAGTTTTTATTGTACAAACTACTACTGTCGAATCGTATATAAAATTTTGTCAAAATGTGGTCAATTTGCCGTTTCGCAAGTAGGCTCCCTTTCCATTGCAAATATCGTGACTTTTGACTTGCAGACAGTCTATACTATTGCTTTCGGTAATATATAGACTTTGCTTAGGTGTAGTCTCATTAACTTATCTAAGAGTTCATTTTTGCATCGGCAATTACTTGCTGCGCAGTTGTGATTTGTTTATCAATTCGTTACATTTTCTTATTCTCCATTCGCATGAATCCGCATATTCACATATTCTATGACATTACGAAAATACAAAACCAATCAGACGTTATATGTTAGTCTATCGATAATAAGGAGAGATTCTTTTTATATTAACAAAAAAAAACATCCCACATAATGTAATCGTTATTCGATGTATATTTAAATACTCAACAAACTTACCCACATTTCCAAGCCTCTTCAATATCAACTCCCTCGGGTTTCCTTGTTCCTTTCCAGTACTCGCATGCTCTCCTCAGATCTCTATCCAATTTAACTTCATCATAGGTCAGAAACACACTTCCTAGATTGCTTCCATCTTCTTGATATCGATAAGAGATCTCTAATTCGTCGTTTAATTTATTGAAATGCCTAAACTCCTTTCTCACTGCCTTCATCAGTTCGCGTAATGTAACGCCCGAATCATGCGATTCGACGACATAATGATCCGAATCACCATCATCACGGTACTCTTCGTCTGAAGACACGTCCCCAACTAGTCCAACAATGCCGTCTGAGAGCGAGGCGTCTGGATCAACGGCCAATTTCTCATACATCAAATCTTCATCAACATGTCCCGCTATCATGTCATCAAACAACTTCTTGTACAACATCAACTGGATCCGAACGGACGGTTGAACATTCGAAGCGGATGGTATATACGGTCGAGTGCGTGTTTTAGTATCCGATAAATACCAAGAGTATCCGTCATCTTTTTCAAGTTGGTGCCAATTGTCATTGCGCCTAGTCCTTAATGACCGCCGGCGTTTGTTCTGTCCTGTTGACTCTGGACGAGAAGCTTTTGATTTTTGTCTTCCGACAATCTCATCAATGATACCGACTACGAAAAATTCATCTACAAAGCCAAATATAGGAAGTTCGCGTGTCTTCCCGGTGAGTCGGAGGGTTTGTAGTCCTTCGATCAGATTGTGCAATCTAATGAGATCAAACGTGACGTCGGGAAGAAATATACAAGAGGAAAAAGGCAAGAGAGGGAGAAAAGGCGATATAACTGATAGAATAAATAATAGCCCTATATCGGCTGATACGAATCAACCCCATTAATATTGATGCTTACACGCACCAATAATTTTCTCAAAAAAGACCCCTTTGTCTAGCACTGAACAGTTCAGTCCATTCCATGAAAAGCTATTCCATACCTAACTCCCCAGGCATCCTCAATGCTTGCAACATCGACATTGACGATGTTATGCACTTCCAACTCTAACTGAAAATGTATATCCCTTCCCGTAGTCATGGCCTGTGTTTCCGCTCTGCCACCACTTGCCAATGAGTAATCAAACTGCTGTTCACACCACGCTAACGATGCAATGTCAGTTACTACGAGAAAGTTTTTATACGAGCGATATCGAAAGAACGGCGACGGCGTCGACGAGGGCGAAGGTGAGGAACGAGTGCTGACGTTGTTGGGAGAACTTTCATTGTGTTGAGAAAGAGCTTCTGCATATTGGAATGCCTCCTCCCAGGCTTCTGGATAAGTATTGTAAAAGTCGTACTCAGGTAAGCGTGAATCGGACGAATTCTCGGTGGATCTGTCAGGTGAATTCGTAGATCCGGGCAGTGCTGTTTGTGTGGAAGACGTGCTTGCAGTCATTTTTCACAAAACAAAATTTTCGAGTTTTGCGGAAAAAGAAGAAACGTTGGTCCATCCGAACACGTGTAGCGTATTGTCACGCGTCTTTAATTGTTTTACAAAAATCGTTAGCACAACTTTTATTTTATCAAAAACCATGGCCATTTCAAGTTAAAGCATCGCAGCTTTCTTTATAATATATAAGGTTTACCATTTCATTAAACCGACAGGCATTATCAACTCAACCGAATTCGGCCACCTTCTTTCTCTGCGTCTAAGTTTTTTTCGTTAGCAATAGCATGCCCTTCTTCGAACAGTTAGCGTGCAAAAGCGTCAATAAAGTCGGCAAGTTATACAGTCCGCTAGTTTCTACAACAAACGAATCCAATTGACAAGCGAAGCGGTTTGTCAGTATCCGCAGGACGGAAAATTGATTAACAGTCATTTATGTTGATAATGTGTGTAACAGATCATTCTATTAATTAATGTGTGTTATTATTAGATTTCTTTTAGGGAAAAAGCTCTAAAATAGGATTACCCAGAATAGGTTTTTGTATACATGTAAAGATGGCTACAAATAGTCTCATTTGGGGCGCAAACTTGTAAGCCATCTGTTCCGATTTTCATAGTAAATTGTAAAAATGTCTACGAAGCAAAATGCTCAAACCCAAACCAAGTCACCTACAAAACCATTAATACTTATATTTGGGTTGATAATGGTATGTGTTATGATACTAGCTGAACTGAAGGCATTGATAAAAGGTAAGATGATTATAGTCCTTGGATGGGAATACTCATTTCTCGAATAAAAGTTTTTATAAGCTTTCGTTAGTATATTCACGCTCTGACATGCACTACATTTATGTAATCCTTCACAGTGGACGACGAAATTGGCATTGAACACAATATAAGAGTCCCTCTACCACCGTTCGTCGTGGTCACAGGTGCCAGTGGTAACCACTTCTGCCCATTGCAAGCATGGGTAATCAGCCTCCATGCCAAAGTGGCTACTCTTCCACGCTATCGTAGACCCCGAATAATAGTTTATGATCTGGGACTGGATAATGAGCAAATCACGACACTGAATACAATGCGATCAAATGGCATGTTCCATGAACTTCGTAAACTCGAATGGTCCAAGTATCCATCCTTCTGGAACATATCGGTTAATGCAGGGGAATACGGATGGAAGACTGGAATAATAGGCGAGGTAGTCAGAGACTACCCGGGCGTAGTTGTGTGGTTGGATTCGGGTACATTAATACAACCAGACTTTTTTTCTCATGTTGATCTGGTATCAACAGAGTATGCTGGATTTTTATCTCCCAAATCGCCAAGTAATCTCCTTCGTTGGACGCATCCTGGTGTGTTTGAGTATTTCAATGACGATCCGGCAAAGTACAAAAGAGTCCATAATTGTAATGCTGCAGCAATAGTGTTTGACTATAATGTTCGGAAACATCTGGTAGATAGATGGGTTAATTGCGGATGGGTGAAGGATTGTATTGCACCCGATGGAAGCAGCAGAGAAAATCATCGACAGGATCAGGCGTTGCTGACTTATTTGGCGGCAAAAGAGGGTCTATACTGTACACAAGGTCAGGCATCGATCGGGATTAAAGTACAGCGTGACGCCAAGTGTCATAATATTATACATGAATGGATGAACTCGATTACGCCTGAGCACAACGAGACAGATATATCCAATGTTACAAATAGTCATGAACATGAGAAGACGGATTGATACATCAAGAAAATTCCACTGCTGTTACGTTTTGTATAGAGTATCCAGTGATTATAATGTAAATTATGAAAAATAATCATTAATATTAAGTAAACATAATTTTTATGATGAAATGGACTTTCAATTGGGCAATGATTGAAGACCGATAAATATCATATGTGTGGGGAGACTTCATTGCAATAAATACACTTTGAGGAAAAGGTATTGACTCGAATCCCGATATTAGGGTTATACAGCAACGTCGTAAAACTATCAACTCATAAGTAATTCAATTCAAATAGAAAATGTTGAACTTCTGTCTCAGCGGACCCAGTTAGGATTCCTTTTACAGGTTAACGCTGCGAGACATTTCATTCGACGTTGTGAGGGGTTAGTCTTTACTTGACAATAAATTCTTTTAGTGAGATAAACCACGCTGAAAAATATGCTTTGCACTTTAAACCATTCTAATACTTTTGGGGATGCGTATTGTTGTATAACGTTGTTGATATTGGGTCTTGTGTATTAAACTTCGCACTTGTGCAGAACGTTAACTTGTTAGACAGTTGGTATAACATAGCCGAACGTGCTTGTATATGTAACTGGTGAGGGTAAGAACAGACTTCCTGACGTGTCGAGAATGATCTGATTATTAATACTCGGGGATGAATAATAATCTAGGGGAGAAACGTATTTCTATATTTAAATCGTGACTAAATGTCACACAGATTTTGTTCAAAAGTAGGAATTACGGAAGAGTTCTGACTGAAAAGAGCTAAATCTCAAGGCTCGCATACCGGGTACGTTCGCTCGACATAGAACACTGTTTTTATAGTTTGTTGTATATTTATCTATTATTTTACTCAAGTAAAAGGTGTTTCTATCGGGGATTACGCCGACCTGTCAACAGTCAAAGAACACGTCATAATGCTCAAATGGGGGAGCGGCCACTCCCAACCAATGAATGGAACTTCACCATGAGAGGCCCGATGAAAAATAACAATTAGCAGTTTAGGATACTGAGGAATTAATATTAACCCGACACCCGACACGTCGTGCAGGTTCGAATGTTATGGGGGTTAATATAGATCCTTATCATTATTGACTTTGTAATAATGTCAAATGAAAACTATGACTATCATTTGTGCCGGTTGTCGGGTTGTGTGACCTATCCTGCAGATGAAAATATTATGGATTGTACGTGTCGGGTTATTTTCCAATAATCCGCAGTTTAGGCTGAGAAATTCGGATATTAGATATTACGCGATACAAATAATATTAATCGACATAATAATAAGCTAATATATGAAACATAATGTATTTTGCAGAGACAAATTCACACTTTGTTGTGCATAGCCTGTCAAGAACCGTTTTCTGTTCGTCAAAATTTTTGTAGAACTTATTAAAGCAATGAGTGGATTGTATCTGGGCAAGAATAGAAACGTCTCGTAGGTTTGTTAGCACGAAATTACAATACTGCAACGAGGAAGAAACGTAAGTTTGTTACGTACCACACGGTTTTATTATAGTGTGTGTTGCATAAAGATTATTAGGTTGTCAATGTATTACCAATGGGTGTACCAAATTATTCTTCGAGTAAAATAATCCTTAAAAAGTGTGAAAATAAGATGTATAATACTTTAGTCAGCGGTCTACGGTAATTTATTCTTATGGCAAACTTATTGCGGAAATTTAAGTATGAACCGGTTTGATTCAAATAAGGAAAATTTTACGCAGTTGCTGTAAGGCCTGTGACTGTGTGTGGCGCGGTTGTGCGATGTGTTCGAAAACAAAACTTTTGCTTTCAATTTTCCGAAAGCGAACCAATATGCGTTTTTTGTAAAGTACAATTTTTTAGAGCCTTTGCCAATGCTGTTGCTCCTGTCTCACTTATTTAATTCCGTATAATTTGCGAATTTACTGAAAAAAAATTGAGAAAAGCGAAAGAAATCAAAAGTCAACAATTTTTAACGTATAGTAAATACTGTATCTACCTTAATCACTTGATGCTCAATGTTAACCTGATTTGTCCATGATGCATTTCCATTCGTCATTTGCGTGTATCATTTCTCATATTAAAATTTCGGACTTTCCTTCAATTACTACTTCAAGTAAGTTTTATATGGATTTTTTACGACCATTTTTATATATCCTAATGCAAATCGAATTTCTTATTATTATGCATACTGTTATGCATAAGAAAGCCCCCGCCCGCCTCGCTCGACATCGTGGTTGTATTTATAAGAAAAAAAATTGTGCACCGCAGTATAAATACATAAAACAAATGTATCTTAATAGCCAGGCCAGACTGTCATTACATTCAGATTACACGTATAAAGCTCACAATACCTCCTCCCCTCTCTTCCAGTCTGCACATCAGTGATTAAAATTATCGTTAAATGGTTCAAAGAAATTGTCCAAGTTTAGTAATTAGTACTTGTTTTAGGTAAAAATTTATGGAATTTGACAATCATGCCCCCGAAAATGTTATAATTAGATTAACAATTGACGATCATCAGTTCATAAATAGCATTATATTTCCCTTTGATTTAGTATACTTTCCGTCTATGTTTGTTTGTGGGCGCTTTATTCTAATTATAACGATAACTAAACACATATCAAATTATCTATTATTATCCCAGTTTCCAAAAATAAATAATTAAACCATATTACGCTGTTTTCTTTCGACATAAATAAATATATATTACTAAAAAAAATCACTAACACAACTCTTACGTTACGAATATATTTTCTCTCGACACTCACGAAAGTATTTTTAATATGGATTTACTATTACGGTTTTCTCATGTCAACACACACAACAATACGCCTACTCCATTACACGAATCTTCCAACAATAGCAATAGTAGCCTCACGGAAATCAACGGTCGTTCATACTGGCGTCCTTCTGCCACATTGCGCTCGTCTCATTAACGATGACTTTCCGTGCATTCCATACTCAAACAGCTCGCGCTTACTATATCCCCATTTAACAAAATGGATAGTTAGACATGAAACCATTAGATATCCTTTCGAATTATCCCCCAAATACATCTTATGACACACCCCAATAATTCAACAAAATAGCGATTTGCAGCAAGCAAATCTAATCCCGATGGCCGTTTGAGCTATAGGCTTGCATCTATACCTGCATGTATCGATGATCATGTTCCGTATGCAAAGAGAAAATATCTCTCCCCTGTTTGTCTTCATACCAGCTTAGGCCGATCTACAAATGCAAACCCGTTTGTCGAATATCGTAGTTTAACAGGTCGAATGGGATATTCCAAAAACCGAAGAGCGCTAACTCTCTATTCGGAGATGCTAGGTGCTTTCTTACAACAATCAGACCTGTCTGAACCTCGCAACCGTTGGTACCATCCATCATTACACTATGCATTGAATGGTTGCAAAATAACAATCCTTATTTAGTTGCCTATAATTCTCTGGCTTCGCGTTGCTCGAACAAAATGAACAGTCTTCAGTTAATCTATCAACAATGTGGCCACAAACAATACACATTTCTGAAGATAATAACACTACTTCCCCTACTCACTCGTCAGATGTAGTAATGCTGCCTTATGTTTTACCTATAAAATACAATATGAGGATGCTTATTATTCCCCTTTAGCTATATGTTTTCTTCTGAATAATGACGAACAACAGTTACGACTTAGTTTTGCAGATCCTGAATTAGAACCGTTATTATTTCCCGACCTATCCACATATACGACATTAAAGAAGAAATTAAAACTAAAACTATTTTGCTTAAAGCAAATGGTATTTTCCTCAATTTTGCGAACGAGCCAATTCGCGTCCATCTTCAAGCATGTTCCTAAAGAAGACTCAAATTGGCATGTCACAAACATGTTCTCTCCCGACAACGTAATTGAAATAGCCGGCACAGTGACTGACGTTCGCGAAAACGTAATATATGTATGTACGCAAACCTTATACCCAAAAACGCAATACCTTATAACATCTTTTCACTCACACATCATACAATCTATCACAGATTAAATACATTTTTAATGCAACATATCTTCCAAAGTGCCTACGTCAATGCCAAATGCCCGTACTTGGCTCGGGTAATTGGAACAACAAAATCAACAGTTCAAATTCGAAACAAAATAGCAATATTCACAGCAAAGCAAGCCAATACGTCACCGGAAGCGGTCCCTCAACAAAATTGGCTGAATTTGATATCATAGTTCGACATGATATCAACAAAAAAAAATCTATAAGATCGAACCAAAAAAACCAGATTGGGATCAAAAGTCTCAATAGTAGGCGAACTCGACATACATGAAAACAAATTATACATCGAACTGCACAACTTTGAATACATAACTGGTGCCACACCATACACCACACCATCCCCATCTCCCAAACAATCATCATTATCCGCCTCCGAAAAAGAGCACTACTATACAGTTCATTAACGGGAAACTGCAGACCAAACTTCTAAAAAACCGAAACTATTCACCCCTACTAACAACAATAACAGCTCAAAACCTAACACAAATACTCCAACTGAACTAGTGTTGAAAACTCAGTTGACCAACCCCAAACCTAAACCACGTCAACCACGAAAAAGAACCTTACGGTCAACCAAGAAATTTCCGATATCGCAACTAACAAACTAGACTTCTCAAATATACATAACTAATCAGAATAAATAACTTACATCTGTCGATTCCTTAAACTTATCATCTATACTTTACCTCATCTTTTAAATACAATTAACCTATATATAACACTGTAAAGTTCTTAATATCCAAACAAGGGGCGCAGTCCCCCAAAACCTAAACTTCTATTTAATATTAATAAGAATAATATCGATCACATTTATTTATGTAAAAATTCTTAGTCTACACGAATACATAACATTTAGTTTAATTGTATGATCTAATGACTGTCTACTGCATTAATCGAACGATTCAAACCGCCTCTAATGACGTTTTATTCATTACTCTTGCTTTATTATTATGTTATAAACATGGAACTGGAGTAGAAAAGGA